CTGGCGCCATGGTGGCCAAGAGGTGGCTGTGGTCTTCTCTGGCCACTCGGGGGAGGGGTGGCCTTGGTAAAAAAGGCCCAGCTCTGACAATGCAGCAGCTGCCTGGGCTAAGAATAGCAGCCGTGTTTGATTGGAATTAGCCATTTGAAACAAGAGCAAAACAGCTCCGAAAGCAGCACCATCTGTTTTCCTTTAAGGCTGGGTCATAAATAACAAGATGAAAATACATTTCCTGCTCTGGATTTGTGACCTGAACTGCCTTCCACTGCCTTGTCACTGACCACTGCGGCCATAAGTGCACGTGACGTTCTGGGCAGCTGTGGGGTGGGGGCGGGGCAGGCTTGGTGTTTTCTCCACACTCCTGAGCACCTCCTTCCCTTCACCCTTCACTTGCTAAAGGAGGGAATCTAAACCAAGTATTCTCTATATGCTTTTCAAAAATAATAATAATGATAATAACGCACACACCAAATGACCAAATGCCTGAACAGGGCAAAACTGACCGGCGATTCTCACATCCTAGGAGGAGACAATCCAGGTCCAGCTCAGGAGGAATGAAAAAGTCAGGAAACACGAGGACCTTGCCAGGCATCTTGTCACTCCCAGGCATGGACCTGATAATCCCCATAAGACAAGCCAGGCGCATGGAAAGGGTGGGGAGGGAGAGAAGATTCCAGAAAAGCAGTAACTGTTCTCTCCATAGAAATCCAGACTGTCCTGGGCCTCCGCCTTGTCAACTCTGACCACCAGCTCTTCCTCAGTTATCTTTGGAACTCTCATCTGTGCTGAAAAGCCTCTGCTTTTGGTTCTTTGGTAACTCAGAGGGGAAAGGCCATGCAGGCTGATTGGCCACCTGGTCTGTGTGTCCGTCAGCTGCCTGCACAGCCCGGGAGGCCTTCCAGGTGACACACGTGTGAACGTGAAAGGCACGGCAAGCCTCCTGGAGGGCTGTGGTTTTAGACAGGCCATCCCTGGAGGAAGCTGCTCCTCGTGGTGAGCGGGTTCCTCTGGGGACAGTTTGAAGCAGAAGACAAACTCAGAGCAACGCAGACGTTGTATGGTACATCTGTCAGTTAAGAAAGGTGTCACCCTGGAGACCTGGCACAGACACTGAGACCCTGGGACAGCTGGACACTTGGCCATGATGAGGCTGAAGCACAGCAGAAACCGCGCTGTCACTGAAGGACAGGACACGTAGACAACAAGGTTTGGAAAAGCCCGGTCCTCTCAGGCTGGGGGGAACATGGATTGTCCTGCCCACAGCCCATCCAGACCTGTCTAGTTAACCTTCCTTTAAAAACAAGTGCTGTCTTTAAAAAAAAAACAAAACAAAACAAAACACTGTTTCCACTCATTCCCCATCTTGGCAGGACAGTCCCCCACCCCAGTCTTCTCCCCAGGGGACCCCTTCAGCTGACCTCCAGTGGCTCACCATGCTCCTGCCTCTGCTCCTTCCAAGGCTCAGCTGATACTGCCCAGCTGCTGCCCGGCTCCACACCCTGAGGCCCAATCCCTGTGAGGCAGGGATTCACCTGCCCTTGCCCAAGTTTGCTCCACCTCCCTGGTCATGTGAGCTCCAGGAAAGAACAGAGAGCCAATGTGCCCAATAGATGCTGCATCTGGGATCTTCCTCTGGGAGGGTTAGTAGGCAACTATCACTCAATGGCTCTGAGAAGTCACGTAGTGAAGGGACCTGTTGAACCTCTTCAACCCTTGTGACCAGTTGTACCTAAAGGTATTTGGCTCCAGTGCTCTGTTAACTCCTGAGAAATT